TACACCAAATACACCAAATAACATCATATGACCCCTTTAATATATGTATATGCATATTTGCATTGCTTTGACTTTCTGTAGGGTCGATCATGTACAATGCCTACACACTATTGGTCAAACTACTTTTTGGTCATTACCTTCAGCAAATATGAAAACAATAGGAAAACAAAGCAAAAACATGGGAACACACACAGACGAATGATAAAAGTATGCATTTAACCGGCTCAAGCATTCTAAAATATAAACAATTATTATAAGCTTACCATAGTGATTTAAAGGTGCAGTAAGCGATTTCTGAGAAATGCTGTTGATATTTGAAATCACCAAAACAAACACGCCCCTACCCAAAAGAATCACACCCCTATCTTGCCTCCGCCCCCAAATTTCTGAACATGCTATTCAGCACAGGCACCTCCCCCATCACTACTGGACACGCCCCTTACTGGTGATTGGCTACAAGTGTGTCCGATCCACTTTCAACAGCGTTTCTCAGAAATCGCTTACTGTACCTTTAAGGACAAAACACAGTTTGGAGGATGGTTGTTCTCACTCATTATGAACATTTTGTTAATTTTGAGCAGAAAAAGTTACATAGTGTAGCTTTAACATATATTTAAAAATATATATTTTAGGGTATGTTTACACAACAATGATTGTACTAAAAACAGAAAAGTTTTTCCTTTCTGTTTTTGAAAAGTTACGTGTACAGATGACAACATTGTCAAAACGATCCCTGTTTTCACAGATTCGTGAAAACGACTAAAAATGCTGTATTAGGCATGCCAGGCCAGTAGTTGGCAATGTCCCTTTTTAAAGAAACACTATGCGCCTGCAAACATATGCATTCCAGTAGACTGAACATGTAATATGCATGCACATGACTTCACCGTTTTCACAAATTTGTGTTTTTGTAGTCTGTATTGTTTTCAAAAACTTGCACTTTGAAACCCTTTATTAAAAATCCCTAATTTTTTATTTTTTTTTACCCCCAGAAAATGAAAGCTCACCTGAATTCTGTTTGGCCCATTGCCACACCTGCAATCCCTGCAGGTAACAGTGTATGAGGAAATCTCCACCCACAGATGAAAGGGGAAGAGCCTCTGCAGCACCATTACTCTGTCCACTACGGTCATCCACTCCATTACTGCATTCACACATACACACATCAGCACTCACGCTGTAACACAGTGTAACACAGTTTCAGTCATACTTTAAATGTAAATTTATGCATGTCAGTGTGTGTGTGTGTGTGTTTACTTCTCTCTTCCTGGATTCTCTGGTGGCTTTCTTTCTTGTGCCTCGCAGAGTTGACGAAACTGACAACGTACCTCCTCCAGCTCCTCCTAAAGAGACACACATGAAAACATAACTACGACAAACACATAAGGAGTGCTTCTCATTTCTTATTTGCGTATCCTCGTTTCCTTTACTCGCTTCCTTTCATCATGTCTTAGCTCCACCCCCCTTAGGATGAGAGGGAAAGATACAAGAAAACAAGGAAGGAGGAATCAAAGGAGAGCTTATTTGTACATTGGAATATTCTTGATTACTCAAGCATCACTTCAAAGCGTCATCAAATGCGCTCAGGTGATCTACCCTTATGTTGTTAAAGTTTGGTTATTTAAGACATTCATTATAAATATTCATAAAGAAGATACCGTGTTGAAATATATGAGACGTGTGGTTTATTTTTATTTTTTTTTTATTTATTTAGTCATTTAGCAGACGCTTTTATCCAAAGCGACTTACAAATGAGGACAATAAAAGCAGTCAAAAACTAACAAAAGAGCACTTTTGCAGTTTTTATTTAAACTGCAAAAGCAAAACATAAATTGAAATTATTATTACAGATGTGAAGGGGGAGGAGAATTTATACATGCGTCAAGTTTTTCGACAAGAAAGACTTCCGCAAAAGATACACCTGTGTATCCTCGCTTAAAGCTCCTCGTTCCTCACCTCCTCGTGGTGTATTTAGAAATTTGAGATGTCTTTCAAGATGGCTAACTTTGTTTCCGGATCTCGGGCTTGAGGATGGAGGAGCAAGGAAACGAGGAAGCATCAGTTTGAGGATTTTGAAGCACCCATAGAACAGATTTACAAGACAGGTGTCTGATCTCACCTTGAGGGACAGCACCAGACTCTCTAGGTGAAGGGAGCGCTTGTTGCAGCCATGTCTTGTGTCCTCCAGCTGGCTCTGCAGCTCAGTGTCTCCCTGCTGAATCTGATTCAGCTCCAGCAGAGCACGAGAAAACCCTGCCCGCAACTCACACACCATGCCCTGAACCTGAACACAACACATCCACATTTTATGCAGATTGCACTGTCAAAGAACAATTTATATCCAGTTTGATATTTTTGAGTATAGCTAGAAATGTCCATGATTTTAAGACTTGTATTAGTTTCCATGACTTTTTCAGGCCTAGTAATCAAGTAATTACACATACTAACCAAAAATTTACTTTTAACAGACATAAATGTTTACAATGCTCATATACATTTCTTGTTATTTTTCAAAGCTGTTGAAGAAAGTCAGTGTGTATTTGTTACCTTAGAGATCTCCCTCTCCAGTTCTCCCTCATGAGATTTCATTTTCTGTGTGAGGATACACAAACATCATTTAACACACAGTCTCAAAGGTTTGTAAACATTCTCTGTGGAGAGGCTTTATTTGGCAGATGACCGCTGAGATTTATGTTGGTGTAGTAAGATACACAACAGTTCAGTTCTTATGTCTGATGCTTGCTAAGCAGATCGAATCCATTTTATGTGTTTCATAAGAAGTTAGTCACTACAAGAAGCGATCTGTGATCATCTAATCCATTGTATATTTTTTAAGAGGTTAGTCACCAGAAGAATACTACTTATCCATTTTTTTTTAACAAATTATCACTACAAGAATAGTAACCCATGATCATCTTATTCAAGTGTGTCATCACACACTGTTAAAAATTTTAGTGTGAAGTTACAGTATATTCCAGGTTAATATTTGCATTACTTTCACAGTAATTTCACAGTGGGACTTCTCTTGTATCTAACTGCATTCTCAGAAATTTCTTCTAAACAAACAGCATCATTCTGTGCTTCCACAGTGCAGATGTACTCTGAAGGCACCCAGCATGCAATGCAGCATGAATAGATCATGCTGTAGAGTTTTTTTTTTATTCTTGTTGGTTTTATTTGTGCTATTGAACTTGTTTTTGGTTCACTTATAGCAGTTTGTGGTGTTTGTTTATTTTGTAATGTTGGTTTATGTTGTAAGTGTTTTGTTTTGTATGTCGAGTATTGATGTCACATCTTTCAAAAATGTTTCTCAGCAGTTGCTTCACTATTGTGAAAGATCCATCCACAAACAGTTATGAATATGAAAAAAGTAATTGATTAATCTTCATGCTTAAATAATGCTAAAATAAAATCTTCATGTTCATGCAAAGAATATTTTGTTAAAATCAGGCAGTTCGCTTATTTCATATTCTAGCTTGTCATCATTTTGACATATTTTCATTTGTCACACTTCTGACATGACTTGATCAGAAATTTTAATATGACTATGCAAGGTCAAAGAGCCCTAACAAATGGGATCATCGATCACCATTATGGTGACTTCAAAACAATTACAGTAGTAAACAACTACATTTCTCATAGAGGCACAGTTAAAGACACTTTTATAATGTGAATTCACAGTAAAACAAAAGCAGTAAATTACTGTGATGTTAGCATCATTCTACTGTTCCTTCACAGTCATTTGTAAGAAGATGACCCAGCATGCATTGATTTCACAGTAAATTTCTGACTACCGTAATTTACTGTAAAATAATACTCTTTAATCCCGTAAATTCATGGCAATTTTTTTTTTACAGTGCATGAATAAAACCTGAAATCACCCATAGCATGAGAACAAAACTTCAAATAAATAATCAAGTTATTAGTAAAGATAATCTAAAAATGCAGAAAGGGTTGTGTGACTGTTTCTGATGAATGTGAAACCAAGGCACGCGCTTGTGTTTTTACCTAGAGCTGGTCGCCCTGTCAGCGAATCCCAAATGGGGGGAAAGATACCTGCCAAAGAGCTCCACCCTAGAGCAGAGAGTGAAAAAGATGTAAAAATGCTTTGTTTCATTTTTTCCAAAAATATTTTCATAATATTCTACTTTCCTAAAACAGTTTACAGTTGTACATTACAGATGTAAAACTAAGTGTCCTATCAAAAATGTAAGTAGCAGCCTGAAAACGACACAAAAGTAATTCAAAAAATGTAGTATTTCAGCCTATTCATCAACACAAATCTTAATGATCAAACTAAGGCAATTACTATTAATAATAATAATAATAATAATAATAATAGTAAGAAATGAAAGAATGTACGAAAGTATGTACAGCGCGCGCTCACTTACCAGAAAGAAAATCTTCAAGATTTCTTTTTAAGTTTAAATGTTATTCCATTTCTTTGACATAGCGACAACCTCATGTTTTTGTAGTTCAGTGTCTATCACTGCGCTCTTGTGTCCCGGTGCCCGGTTTATCTGGTGTCCTGCACTGCGTCTGTCTGACTGCGGGAGGAGAAACAGAACACGGACTGCGCGCGCCGTCCGGTGTCTCGGGAACATTCACGCGCTCCTGCGCAGTCAGCAAAAGAGCAATTTTTCGGCTGATTAGAGCTCCATTTGACTTCCACTCCCATATCAGAGGTCTAGAATGCACTGAGATGATTAGGGACTCTGTACGTGCTTTGTGATTATTTTAACTTTGGTCAAAATATTTTATTCAATAACCCAGATATTATTTGTTTGATTATACCTTTGAATAAATACGCACATTACCGTAGCCCACTCCGAAAAAGCTGAAAAACTAATCGAGCCTACGTCTCATTAATATTTAATCCCCAGAATAAGCGAAACTGCCTGGAGGGCGTGTCTTATACAAACAGAGGCGTGGTTTTCAAACATGTTCAACATGATTGGACGAATCCTTTATGTATGTTTTAAAATAGCCGCGCATGCGCAGTGCGGAGTGGTGTGTCTCGGTGAGTTCGGTTGTTGATTCTCTCTGTCGCGGACCATCTCGTGTTTGCATGTAGAAATGTAATGCTTCTTTTGAATAACTTCGAGGTGTCGAGTGCGTAAATAGAATTAGTTGTGCTAACGAGAATATGAATATATGAACCTTTAGTAATGTCTCACTCACAGCATATGATGCTTGTATTTCTCATAAATTTACACTGAAATCATCTAAATTTCTCAGTCCCACTCCTACATGATAAGCAAAGCCATCAGAACAAGCTGCTGTTTGGATATCAGTTTCACATTACAGTTCTCATATGTCAGTGTCCGGGTTGATTAATGATCTTGGTGTCATTACACATGTATGCTAGACTGGGGCAATGAGGACAAGTGAGTTTGATTCATCTGACGAAGAGGACTTTGGTGAAGAGGAAGCTACACCTTTTCAGATCTCATGGTGAGCAAAACATACATATACTTCCTCAACAGCTGGAGAAATATTCAAAGATTGAGTGATTTGTGGTTCGTGTGTGTGTGTGTGTGTGTGTGTGTGTGTGTGTGTGTTTGTTGTGCAGGTTGTCTCTGTCAGTGGTGGAGTGTTCCCAGTCTCTTGGCATTTGTTCCTTACCTGGTATGAATAATGTCTCTTTGTGTGCTCATTCCATAAATATTAATAAATATTTCTGTTAGGGCTGCACAATTTGGAGAAATAAATCGAATTGCAATTTTTTATATATAAAAAATGTTGCTCCAGGTTTGCTGTGCTTTTTAATAATAATAATAATAAAAAAATCTTTAAAGGGGTCATATGATGCGATTTCAATTTTTCCTTTCTCTTTGGAGTGTTACAAGCTCTTGGTGCATAAAGAAGATCTGTAAAGTTGCAAAGACTAAAGTCTCAAATCCAAAGAGATATTCTTTATAAAAGTTAAGAGTCAGCCACGCCTACCTAAAACGGCTCGTTCTAACACACCCCCACATACCTACGTCACGATCTCGGAAGATTTGCATAACGCCGCCCAAACGTTCACGCAAAGAAAGAAGGCGTAACTTCTATTCTCGCTGTAGTATTGTTGTTGCCACCGCCATGGCTTTGTTGAAAACAACGTGTTTGAGAGAGGCGGGGCATAGAAGACCTACAATAATGTACAGTATTTGAAAAATAATGTGCTTTTTGAACATTAAAGCATGTCAACATATTCTGTTACACCAAATACACAAAATAATGATCTTTAAAATAGCATCATATGACCCCTTTAAGAAAAATAATAATTGTATTTTACAGTACAACTGTAAAATTACAATACTAATACTAATTTAAACCAAACTAAAAACACAAGGTCTTGAGCTACTTGTGCATAAATGAACACAGTGCCGGTGGTTCACTATGAATAATCGCATTAAGCCATAACATGATGTCACTTTTATTTCTATTAATCATGCAGCCCTAATTTCTGCTCATTTCAGGATGCAGATATAAAGAAATCAGAAGAAACCTGCAGAAAGATGTTGGTGAGTCTATCTGTCACACGTATACAGTAATGGTCTAAACCAGTGGTTCTTGACTGATTACAGATCTGTTCTGATTGGTTTGCGAAGGAGCAAAGTAAAATCAGTGCTAAATTCATATAATAAAATTCAACTAACTTTTTGATCATGAATAAAAATTTAGAGGTTCTTTGGCATCCTCTCATCCTCAAAAATAAATAAATAAAAATACCTTCCAGACTCATTCAATTTTAATGAACATCGCAGCAATTAGCAAATGACAATCAGTTCCCTGGTGGACAAAATTGAGTCTCGTCCTACCCTTTTTTTTTCTTGTTCAAGAAGCCGTTTCGTTTGGATATGTCACAATAAGGGAGAAATTAAGACCACCATTATTTCCATTTCATGTTGTTGACATGAGTTTATTTGCATGAATAAAAATGGTGTGTAGTGAATTATTAGAAAATTCAAGAGGCTTCAACAAACCAGGTTATTTTTCCTATTCAGTCTATGCCATGATGTTTTTGCATTTAGCAGGGCCTCTTTGTAGCAATATTAATACATTTCAGTGTTTGGATATTTTAAGGATATTTTTGTTTTTCCCGAGTACAATTTTTTTGGTTCACCGCTTGATGTCCTGACTGTGATTTATCTTGTGTGTGTGTGTGTGTGTGTGTGTGTAGCGGAGATGCGTGATCAGGGTGTGGAGGACGTGTTTGTGTTCTGTACCAGAGGAGAGCTGGTGCGCTACAGAGTGCCGAGTCTGTTAGAGGTTTATTCTCTGAATGGACTCAGAGTGCACCACCTCCCCTTCCCGGACGGGGGCGCTCCAGAGCTTCCTCAATGCAGCTGCATTCTGGAAGAACTGCAGGACTGCCTGCTGAATCAACGCAGGACTGTCATACAGTAAGAAACACTCTCTGTTACTCCATTCAGATATATTCTTCCACCAGCGAATTTGTTTTAAATATTTATTTTTATTTTATATTTATATATATTTTTTTTTTATAAATCAAACCTTTTCGTTTTAATGGACCTTTATTTTACATTTATTTAAAATATAATATTAATAATTTATTTAAAAGTATTTTTGTTTACAAGACATTAAGACAAGACATTTTCAGCAAGGATGAATTGAATTAATCTTTTGTGATAGAAATCTTTTGTAACATTATAATATTTTAAATAAACAATAAATGCAACTGTTTTCAACGTTCATAATAATGATGAATGTCCTTGAGCACCAAATCAGCCTATTACAATTATTTCTTAAGGATCATGTGCTTAAAATTCAATTTTGCTATAACTTTTAATTGCTATTACTATTAATGAATTTATTGTTGTTCTGGGACGCTCAGGGTTAAGTAAGTATCAAATGCTCAAACAGGGTGCAATGTCACAATCAATATCAGTCCCGTGTGTGTGATTAGGAGTTTAACTTATGCTTCATTGTCACAGTTGCTGCATGTTTGCTGCTGCAGCTGTCTGTCTCCATGACGCCCAGTGCTGCTCTAGAGATCCTGAGGGAGCTGAGAGGAGGCGGAGCCATTCAGACCATCAAGGTAAGAGGCAACATCCAAAAACCTAAATGCATCACTTCCCCTAACTGTACAGCTAAGCTGTTAATAATGCTTTCATATTTGTCTCTTATAGCAATACAACTTCCTTCATGAGTTTCGTGAGAAGTTTGAAGCATATCAAGAAACCAAAGAGCGGCTTTCAGAGAGATCAGTGTCCCGATGATCAACCTGACATCCAGATGATGTAAAAGCAGAAAAAAAGACAAATTACTTTAATTGGTGTTTTTGCTCTATAGATTTTCTCTACTTTATGAATGCATTTGTTTATTTTCTGATGGCACTTTAAAAATTCTGTATTTTTATAAGTCGATCTAATAATATTGTGCTTAATATATAACTTTAATTTTGCAATTAAATGGGTCTTGTTCAGTAAGTGAGTCTCCTGTGTGTGATTTCTGAGAAACACTGTTGGAAATTATCAACACCCAAACAAACAATTTTGTGAATATTTGTGTGTGTGTGCTGAAACAAACTGTGTTTGAACATAGTCCTGGCTGTGTAAATAAGGGAAAAAACAAAGTGATGCATCACGGTTTTCACAAAAATATTAAGCAGAACAACTGTTTTCAACATTCATAATAATGATGAATGTCCTTGAGCACCAAATCAGCCTATTACAATTATTTCTTAAGGATCATGTGCTTAAAATTCAATTTTGCTATAACTTTTAATTGCTATTACTATTAATGAATTTATTGTTGTTATTAATAAATTCTATTTTAAAATAGAAATCAGTCATTTTAAACTGTAATTATTTCACAGTATTACTGATTTTACTACTTTACTGCAGCCTTGGTGAGAATAAGATAATTTTGCAATTAAATGGGTCTTGTTCAGTAAGTGAGTCTCCTGTGTGTGATTTCTGAGAAACACTGTTGGAAATTATCAACACCCAAACAAACAATTTTGTGAATATTTGTGTGTGTGTGCTGAAACAAACTGTGTTTGAACATAGTCCTGGCTGTGTAAATAAGGGAAAAAACAAAGTGGATTGGACCGTTCAGAACGAGCACCATAACACTCTTGTAGCTAATCAGCAATAGGGGCGTTTACGCTCATGATGGGGAGGAGAGAGCGTGAGCAAGCGGGAGATTTGACTAGACTGTTGAAGAAGAGATGGCTGAGACGTTACCTAGAACAAAATTCAGAGGAATATCATTGGAAAAAGAAAGCTTACAATCAGGCAAACTCTCAGACCCGCGTTAATATGGGAAAAGCTTTCCGGCGCTGGAGAGACGGGGAGTCGAAAACGGACACCGGGGTTGCTTTGTTTCCTTTCCATATGTGAGTAACATTGGTTTTTGTGTCTGGGAAACCATATGTTGCTTATGTGCGTGAGGTAATTTGGATGGTGGGGTGGATAAGTCATGCAGCTGTTTGCAATAATTCCTGGCAATTCTTTCTTATCAAAGTGGTCATTAGCAAGGAAATCTATTGCGTCAATTACCTGTTAAGTTAACCAAACCTTTCATTTAAACAAAGCAACACTAATCGCCATACAATCAAAAGAGTTCAAATGCTTTTGTGCTACTGAACTATGAAAAAGATTTTTCATTTATCATGTTTGCCACATGGGTGTACTTTTCGATAAACTATGACTAATATAGCTTTGTGCAAAGCAGTATCACTCTTGTATAATATTTTTGGAATTTAAGTCATACAATTTCCATGAGTCATGGAATTTATTTTTTACTGAAAATGTATGCAGTTTATGTTTTCAGTGTTTAGTTAAAATGACTACCAAAGCTGAAAAACTGTTATAAATATTACATCACAAAATTAGCAATATTATTAATCGTAAGACAATCATATTAATAATAAAAAATAGAACTATTATACTATTCTTTGTTTAAACAAAAAACAATTTTAACCATACTTTATCCAAATGGAATAAACTGAAGTTCACACAGAATGCCATCATAAAATAGGCCATGAGCATTTGTCATGATTTGTCTGTGGTGGGCTTTATTGGGAACTTTAAAACAATATGACATGCCAAAAAGACAAAAAGAATTTACTACAGCTCTTGCAAGACGTTATTACATTCACACACACAGGGGAAACAGCAAACAGGAAAAAAAATCTAAATCACATTTAAATTAAATCAAAAATAACCTATTACTCTGCATATCACCTTTGTGGTCCAGCTTGGTGATTATGAACAACTGTCAGTGTGGTAAAGAATCCTTCCACACAGCTCTGCTCTGAATCCAGATGCAAACTCTACAGCATCACTTCAGGACTGAAGCCTCTGGGATTTGGGACAGGCTAAAAGAAAATGGCATCTTGGCACACTGAGATCATGCCAACATCAAACCAAAAATATTAAAAACAGTGTCCACACTCATCTCTATCTCACAAAAACATAACGGAAGTAAAACAAAACCAGAAAAAAATTACACTTAGAAATACAAAATGCACACAAAAATAAATTTAAAAGCAAAAAAAAAAAAAGTTATATGTGGAGTATTTCCGGGGTGTATGAGCAAAGTAAAGCCTTCAACACACTGAAAGCATCAGTTCTCATTTGTGACCAGCAAGACAGTAAACAGTGGTTTTGACACACTTGAAATGGAGCATTCTTCTGATAAGAACCATCAACATGAAGCAGACCACCATCATGAGTTCAATTTCATGGACTTACAAGATCATGAACCACCAAAGCAGCACACGACTCTGAAGAACAAATTAAAGAACTGACTGAGCTACAAGGCAGTAATATATATATAAGATAAAAGAAGTCTGTAAAAATGCTACAATCAAGATCTTTATTTTGTCCTACAGTTTGAAAACACAAGAGTAAAATCTTTGCACATATCCATCAGTGGTATAGTGTTGAAGTCCTTGTGCCTCTGCTTTGGACACGAACTGTTTCCTCTCATCTACTAATGCTCTCAGTGTGTGAAGTGCTTTGGCATTGGTGCGGCATGTGTAAGTCTAAAGAGGTTGTACTAAAGAGTTGGTAATCATTTATTTTTGCATGTGTGGTTCTGGAGTTATGCAGGCTGCTTGATTCCTGGATCGTTCTTTGCCAATGAGGAGTAAATAAAGTCAATGTCCATTTGAAACAGCTGAGCAGAACTGAGAGAGATGGCAGAGTCCAAATTCAGCTCCATTTGGGTTTTAAAATCAGCATCTCAAACGCTTCCATATATGCTTTCCAGCTCTATCCAGTTTAGGAGCTCACCAAAACGTAGATCATTCTATAACATAAACACCAGAGAAAATTATAAGCTATAAGGTTTCTTACTGACCCAAAACTTTTGAATGGTAGTGTATATGAAATTAAAATATAAATATATACAAATTATTATTTATTTTTAAACTCTACATACCCGTAAAGATAGTAGAAGAATGAGAGGAGGTAGAATGCAAGCTTGCACCAGCCCTCCTTCTGACAGTATGCCAGAATATCTGCGTTCATTATTGTAGTGGGGTCATACAATCCAGGTCCACTCATCACAGGGCGGCTCATATACCTGCACACAAACAAACACTTAACGTTGCACTTTGAGCAAGACACAATGTTGACTAATCACTTATTAACTGTAGAGAAACTAACTTGACACATCTGCTGAGGTGTTTGATATATTCTCTGTGATTCATTTAGGGCTGAGAGCCCCACCCACCTCCAGATGTGATAGGCCAGCAGGGGCATGTTGAGTCCAAGCGTCAGCCATTCTGCGGCGCACAGGAACATTACGCAGAAGAACACATGGATGAGGTACTCCGGCAAGACGAGCTGAGGAAGCCAAATAATACATGGTCAGTGGACAACACATTTACACAGATCTCAGAGACTAGAGTTCTACTGTGCCTGAAGCCTGTGCTCCAAGTCTAGCCAATCAGGTGTGAGATTCATTCGAATTACCCACATCCCATGAGCTCTAGTACTTACTGATCTGCTTAAGTAAAATCTAAATCTCTCTAAACCTCAAGAGAGCAGGATCTGCTGAAAATAATTGTCAGAAATGATCAATTAAAGAAATAGTTCACCCAAAAATTTAAATCTGCTCACCCTTAGGTCATACAACATGTAGATGAATTTGTTCATCGGTAAAAATTGAGAAATTTAACATTACATGACTTGCTCACCATTGGATCCTCTGCAGTGAATGGGTGCCGTCAGAACGAGAGTCCAAACAGCTGATAAAAACATCACAATAATCCACAAGTAATAGATTTATTACAAACATGCAGCTTTTTTACATTAATTGTAGGACTGGAGTCGTGTTAATTACTAGTGGATTATTGTGATTTTTTATCAGCTGTTTGAACTCTCAATATAACGGCAGCCATTCACTACAGAGGATCCAATGGTGAGCAAGTACAGTTTCAGCAAATTTTAATTTTGGGGTGAACAATTCTTTAAAAGCAAATGTAGAAATGCTCTCAAGTGCTCACAACTAGGTGTTTTCAAAAGGCTAAAAATGCTTTGTGCTGGTGAACACATGGCCTAAGGACCTTTGATCCATTTAAGAATTTAAGACATCAAGTTCAAAATTCAAACCAACCAGAGGACCTCTCTCCTGCCAATGATCTCTGCTCAATAACCTCTGAAACAGGCCATCTATCATATCCTAAAGCAGTTGAAGTTTCTAAAGAGCATACTGTAACTCATCTGCTTTAGATTTAGTTAAATATAGAGTGCTCTTATTAAATGTAGTTTCTTTTATTAGGCAAATAGAACATCTGGCCATTAGCAAATTAGTGCAAAAAACAGATGAGTCAACATTAACTACACCCCCAGCCCACAGACAAAGATATGGGAACAGAGGTAGGATTGTGTTTTTTCATAGGGATACAATGCCAGGCAGAGTGAGAACAGCAGCCATGCTGAGGGAGGGAGCAGCTACAAGGACCCCAGGCTGCCCCTGCCATGCCTGATTATAACCAGTAAATGTAGACAACACATGAAGCCCATGCAAAAAGAGAGAAAATGTGTTTATTCTGCTTTTGCCCAACACAAACACATTGTTAAAAAATTCATTCAAACTGTCAATGGCGATTATGAAGAACATAAATATGTAAAATGGCCTCAAAACTCAGATAGTGTTCGGACACAGCCAACCAGAAATACCCCTTTCTAAAGGATGCTACTGCTAAACTCTAAATTAATGTGCACCAAAGATGCTCAATACATCTTCTCTTCTTTCCCGTTCATCGCTCAAGTGCACTTGAAATAATGACATCTTCTGCATGATCTTAATGGTGCAATTGTTTTTACAGCGGAGCCAAATTTAGAAATACACTTTCTAGGCGAGACATCATAAATGGAGTTAATCGCTCTGGGTAAAGAGCAAACGGAGGGGAGGGCAGAACGGCACATGCATGTTCTGAGCATTTGCAAGTCTTTTCAGTTAACACTTTTCCCTCTAAACCGCTGTCTTTCCTACACTCAAATAAACACCTGTGCAGATGACATCTGTGCCTGTGCCCAGACCCACAGTAACAGACTCAACCAGCCAAACATGAGCAAAATAAGAGCAACCCTGAAGGAGCAATCTGGGTTTTGTTCATTCGGCAGATGTGATGGCGTTTGCAACAAAGACAAACTCTGATTTCAAGCTGTCTAGTTGGTGTAATCAAAGTCCTGCCTCTCTGCTTGGCTTGTTTGTACATTTGTGAGGTGTTAGTTAACTGAAAAGACATTTGTAAACGCTCCGCTCGTGCGCACAGAGAGACTGTTACTGATCTTAAACTGAATTCTGGTACCAACCTTCAGAGCAAGCCTGACCCTTTTAATTTTTTTCACCCTGTCAACTGTCTTTGAGCCAATCAGAGAAAAAAGGTAAAATGCAAATATTAAGAAAATAAGACACAAAATGCAAATCAGAAAAATCGAACCAAAGTAGTGTTAGTGTTGGAAAGCAATCACTGCAGATGATTTCATCGATTAGCAGAACAGTGTTGAGATAGAAGAGAAGAAACAGGAGTGCATGCATCATAAGCCATCTCTCCAAAATCTCGCACTTACCGGGTTTAACGTGTTACATTGGTCTATAGGATTCTTATAGTCCGTCTTCAGCTCATCAAATGCAATTATCTGGAAAACATTATCATATGTCAGGAATATGTTATTCTTTAAGAAACACTTAAAACATTTTTAAACATTCAGAAATATATTTGTGCTGAATGAATTAATTACATTTAAAATTAATATTCATTTATAAACAGACATTATAAAATGCTAACAAATATGAATTGTTAAATTGCTCCTTGAGGAGCTTAATATTTTATGAGTTTTATGATGTGGAAATTATGTAAATTTAAACCGCTTTAATAGTAGTCTGTAAACTCAAGTGTTAAGCCTTTTTGACTCTTCCATCCCAACTTCAAAACATATGCAGTGTACTATATCTATTATGCCTGAATCATTCAGATTATAATTATTTACTCACGAATAGTCATATTAGTCATAAATCCATTAGTCATAAATACTAAAAATCTAATTTATTACCAAAAAAAGTAATATTATTATATGAAATGTAAATATTTCCCCTTAATCTTGGGGAAAATAATGGTGGGAAATCAATATTCCCGTCACTGTAGTGACATTTGTCTGCATTTGAATGCATCGATTCTGGTTATTAAAGTGTTATCTCTGAAACAAGTTAATAGCATCAGGCAGCAATTAATTAGCCTAAGAGATCTGAACAGTGGTGCTGTTCTGTTCGCAAATAACTCATAATGTGACTCCCAATTTTAACAAAAAACATGACAGTTCTGTCTAAATCTAACATTTAAAGGCCCAAATGATGCAGACAGACCCAGTGACTCCAGATTGAGAGGTTCATGTATAAAATATCACACTGCGTCGGGTTTTTGATATTTATTAGCGTCTATTTTGTTGATTTTAGTAGCAGTTCTGATTTATCACTGATCTGTAAACACATGCACCAGAGCTAAACGGGAGCGCGCGCCCCATCCGCCCGCGGTCACAACAAACCGATATAACAAATTGGTAAACATAGCGTGAATTAAATATGACTAACTCTGTAGATAATGCGGTTAAATACACGGAAGGCCCCTAATTGTTTAACGGAAGAATAGCAGTGGTGATGATGATGATTATAATGTGTCACCAGCTTTCGCTCGTGCCATTCATTCGCGTTTTGTCTCGCGCTCTGCTGTGTGTCTAACTAATGCCACTATCCGCCAATTATCTGTGTGTTCAAAGTCTCGCCAATTCGGTTGGAGTTTAATTAAAATACTTACATGCCAAATAGCGAAGAAGATAAGCGCCGCCGTCAGCAGTAGCGCCAGCATATAACAAAAGGCCGCGAATGTGAACGCCATTTTTCGCTCATGTGGAATTATCCAGACCGACGACTGCTGTGACGTTGAGACAGCTGTAAGTCACGTGACTGGAAAAGTCTCATGGATACTCGAAATAACGCGAGATCTTTTTCTTCGCGAGATCTTTTTCTAAAAATAACGCGAGATCAGATGAAGAAGCCATTAGTATAGAAAAAGCCAGTTTTTCCGTGGAACACAAAAGGACCGTTTTTGAAGAATGTTCATGCAGCTCTATTCCTAAACTAAAAATACCATTAAAATAGTGCATAGTAAACATATTACTATATTCCAAGTGTTGTGAAGCCATATGATAGATAGATAGACGACGATAAAAAGAATGCACGTCACACCTCTGTTTATCAGTTTGCACTGGCTAGCACCAATAGTTGCTCGCATAAAATTCAAGGCATTGATGTTTGCCTACAAAACCACCACTGGCTCTGCACCCCTTTACCTAAATTCATTACTTCAGACTTATGTGCCCTCTAGAAGCTTGCATTCTGCCGCTTTATTGTGCCATCCCAAAGAAGCCCAAAATCACTTTTACGGACTTTTAAATTAAATGTTCCCTCCGGGTGGAATGACCCGCCCAACTCAATCCGAGCAACTGAGTCCTTAGCCATCTTCAAGAATCGACTAAAAACACATCTCTTTCATCTTTATTTGACCCTCTAACTCTAGCACTCTCTATTCTAATTCTATTCTTTAAAAAAAAACACTTGTCCCTTTCATTTGCTGCTTGTTTTTTTTGTTTTTTTACTAACACTTGCTTTCTAATCTTTTTGTATTCTATCTGTTTTCTTTTCATTTATTATACAATTAACAAAAGCAAAAAAGACCTCTAACACTAGCTTGCTCTATTATTTTTCTATTCTATCTGTTTTCTTTTTATTTATTATATTATTTAAAAACTCTTGCTACGTGTACTATGTTAAGCTAACTGAGACTTGTTCTAGCACTTGTATATCATTGCTCTTTTGTTGATTTTGATTGCTTCCATTGTCCTCATTTGTAAGTCGCTTTGGATAAAAGCGTCTGCTAAATGACTAAATGTAAATGTATATGATAGCCTTTGTGTGAGGAACAGACCAAGATGTAGGCTAATATTCACTGATAATCTCTCTCTCTGAAATCTCAATCTCCATCCCAAATTTTATTGATTATATCCAACTGAAAACTTGATTAATAAACTTTATAAAATGCTGACAAATATGAATCACAAACATTAAAGCTTGAAGAGCTTAGTATTTTATGAGATTTGTGTGATGCAGAAGTGAAGTGAGTTGAATCTGCTTGAATATGGAAACATACAATTGCTGAGCCAGAGATCTTCTTGTATTTCTCTTTGTTGTGCCTGTAAACTCATGTGTTAAGTCTTTATGACACATCCCAATTAAAGTAACTATGCAACGTATTATCCACCATGCCTGAATCAAATTTAGGTTATGACTGTTTAGTGAAATCATGAAATATTAAAAAATATTTTTTTTACCAAAAGTAATATTATTGTATGAAATTCATGTACATTTAACTAATCTTAGTAACATAAAGAAAAAAGATCCTGCTGAATGTCACCGCTGTGACTGACATCATAGAAATCTTTTAAAAACCTTTATCTTTTCGTAATAAGTTGCAGATGTCTGGCATGTTGTGCTGAATGTTAATCATTATAGTGGTTAGTAAAATAAAAATTGAAATTGAGAAATAAAGAGGAATAATTCACTGAGATATGTTCAGACATAGGATGGAAATGTAAAGTCATCTAACTGCAAACAAACAAGTAAACTTTCTGATGGGAATTTTCACTTTCTGGGGCAAGATTAAATGACTATATGTGGTCATCAAATGATGCATGTTTAAGGACTAGATCAAAAAAAGCCCAACCAAACAGATGAAATCAAAAACCACATGAAAATGATAGTGGGTAGAACTTTCTAAAGCTTTGTGACATTGACCTAATATTGGTTTACTAATGCAAACCCAGCATTTGTGGAATAATGAATAGACTTGCCACAAGGTAATGAGTATGGCTAAATCACCTTGTCTGTTTGTAATGGAATTACATTTGCTCTTTAAGCAGATAGTTCCTACCCAAGTAAGCAGAATATGTAGAATGCAGAAAATCCTTTACTAAATCTTCATTTCACTCTTAAGAAGTAATCACCATTATTCAGAACAGAGTAAACTTTGCTAAAACGAGTAAGATACCCATATTTAACATGTTAACGTTCAGTGTAATTATATTTCATGACATGAACGATCATGATGCACAGTACAATTAAGAAGTTTAAAAATAAAATGTGTGAATATCACTCAAGAACACTCCAGTTAAGCACATGGTCAAATTTTCAAAGGAAACAACCTTCTATTTAATTATTCAAAACAGCAGACAAATGTAATTGAGACACATATTGAAAGGTTAACGGTTTTTCTGCTTTCAAGATAGATCTTGAGTTATAAATGATCAGGAAAAGCATCTTCAGTCATTAAAAGTTAAATGTTAACACATACACAGTTCACTACTGTATGGGACATATCATGTGATGTCCACATCATATAAACCACCAAAGTGAGCAATCGGTGTTTAATAGGAAACGGGACTAATCACAGGTGTTACGGGTTCTACAGACGTACAGAGATGAGCCTGACCCACATTAGAGCTCACAAATTCAGAAAGACTTGAGATCTGCAGAGGTACTTATCAAAACCATAATAACATCACTTCCTTAAACTATTCATAGTGTTCTGTTAAGCTTTGAACACTGAAGAAATTTCCAGTGTTTACATTTTGCCAATAGAAAGATTGTTTTAGTTTTTTTTATGGAAAAAACGATGCTTTGCATAAACTTAATAGTGACATCAGCTTTATTCCAGCGTTTAGTTGGACAATGAGTAAGAGTCATTTAGAATAACTAACAGAGGAATTAATTACGAGATGATTGCCTGTGGCAGAATAACACCATATCACATCTCTGCCGCTGAACACCTAAACCTGCACATTTCCAAAAAGGTAGGACAGATCTGTGATTAAGGACGTCTGGGTGACAAATACTATATCACCTCTCCCAAAAACACCAAATCAAGAAAAATTAGTCCCAGAACTTTCACCCAATTGTCTTCACAGATTCTTGATCTTTAGTGGAGATTTGTTTATCAGGCTGTGAGCGCAGATTTAAAAAGGCAAAAAAGATTGAATTTATGACACTCAAGACAACAGGCCAGAAACAGTAACCAAACGCTTTCTCCTAAAAATATCAGTAAGACTTCTGACCTCTTCACCTACCATTACAATTCAACAGATATCAAAACAAAACAATTCATGTTTGGTCAAATTACAGGTAGAAAATGCATTACAAAGGAAGAAAAGATGTGATCAGGGCTTTACATGAAGACTTATGTGATTTTACCCCAAAACCGGTAAAACAAACCACATGATAGAGTTTTAAAATGTTTAAATCTGTTGCCGTGTCATCTATCATGAAGGACAGCTGACATAAGATTGCCTAAAATCGCAACATGTCACCCAACTATCATGGCAGTAAGACTGGACCACCTTTGCAGGCCAGTACATATGTTACTGCTCAGGGACGAGAACGGAATGGTTCTAAAAATCCAAGGAATAGTTCAGAGCACTTGTGGAATTTGTTTTCACGTTTTCTTTTCTTTGTACCTCAAATTTCTGTCATCTTAAACTGGTACAGGCGGGTTTAGAGTTTGGGCAGAAGCATTCAAACATACACAAACAGACAGTATCAGATGGACTATGGTCTCTCCGTTTGGAGGTGATGGTCCCATCTCGGTCACTCTTTAAGCACGAGTATTAGCTTGTTCGGGCCATTCTTAGCGGAAGAAGCCCAGTTTCTCTCTGAGCCACTCCTCTGTCAGGTCTTCGGTGTTCCTGATCTCAAACACCTGAGAGAAAGCAGATCCAGACAAATTTAAAAAGACATACCCACTACACTGCTTTTAAAAAAACAACAACATGTGTAAGGTTAGGTGTGTTAGTTAGAACTCACCTTGGTCAGTTCAACCGTCTGTACCAGTTTGTTTTTGCTGCCAGCATACATCATCTGCTGCTCAGGTTTGCATCCTGGAAAATTGGGTTTCATTTTAGAGACTTAGCACTGCTTTATATTACTTTGTTTGTGCATGTTGACTATTGAATATGTGTATTTTCTTTACCAACAGGACTGGAGAAGATAAAACACAGAGGGTAGGACACCCTCCCATCATCGTGCTGGTACTTATAGCTGTAGACTACAAATGTGTCAGAGGTTAAGGAATCCAATGATTGTTCAATGTTGAATAGACAAATTTTTTGAGTTTACAGCACAGCACAGAGTGAGTTTTGTTTTAGTGAAGGATATCTAGGCTGTCTTTCTGGTAGCTCGTTCTTCAGGTCTTCAGGAGAAATATCCTACAAGGAGAAAGCAAACCCTGGTTTATGTCACTGAGCTGCTCAATTATTAGTCCTACTAGAAAGCTGAGTATTACATATTCATGCGATAACAGTGGTCTTGTGTATGTAATTTACCTCATGCTCCTCCTCCAGAATCACCAGCTGTTTGTCTTTATCAATCTTCACTGTAACCAGAGGACAAAAACAGCAATATTACCATTCAGTCCTCACAGAATCTGAGAAAGTGTGAGCATTTATGGAACAATTTCAATTCGACTCACTGATGATGGCGGCATTATTAGTCTCCTTCCTGAAGCGGAAATCCCGCAACTTTTTCACCAGGTCTTCATCCACCTCACACACAACTAAAGACTCACTCTGCGTACACACACACACATTGTTGTTATTACTTTTTTTTTTTTTTACTTTGTTAGTCTGCTTAGTTAATTGTTCCAAACTTTTGACTAGTAGTAGTTTATACATAATTCATAAAGCCACATAACCTGAGAAACTTCCAAATAATCTCTTTGATTATGAGCCATAGGGACACACTCAGGGTTGAGAGTTTGTCAATTTAAAGTATATCTAAAGCAGTGGTTCTCAACAGGGGCCAGGGTTGTGGGGTTTGCAATGTTTCAATGGGCCCATTATGTCTTACAATTACATAGATTTAGTT